GAATTAGTTTAATTCATATCGCTCGCTGGAATCATACTCCGCCAATTGTCTGCCGCACGCGTGAGAACCAATCTGGTTTTAGACCCGGTCTAGGTTGTATCGACCACATCTTCACTCTGCACCAAATTCTGAAGCATCGACATTCCATTCGTAGACCCACCATCTCTCTTTTTTTGAAAGCAGCCTTCGACTCAGCTGACCGCTCTAAACTCTGGTACTGCCTTTCCCAGAAGGGTGTGCTCCAGAAGTACATGTCAATATTACGATCGCTTTATACTAATAACCGAAGTCGAGTCCGGGCTTACGGCACGTTTTCACCCGAGTTTACCACAGAAAGTGGTTCTTCAGGGTTGCCCCCTTTCTCCTTTTCTATTCAGCTTTGTTAGAGATTTGATTATGGAAACAGCCCTATCGTCGTGCTACAAAAGCGACATCGATTTACTTGCAGGTGACAGACTGTCTGATCTATTGTATGCAGACGACATTGTGCTGCTAAGCGAAGATGCAGTTAAGTTGAAAGCTTTTCCGGATAGTTCGAATGCCAGTGTTGCCATATACGGTATGCGTTTTGCCTCTTCAAAGTGTAAACTGTTACTAGAAGACTAGGTCGGTCCGGCACCGATCCTCACCCTAACTGGAGAAGTAATGGAGTAAGTTGATAAGTTTTGTTATTTGGGCAGCTATATCTCACCCGGTAGACGCATCACGGATGAAGTGTCAGCTCGCATACAGAAGGCTCGGTTGGCATTTGCCAATTTGAGACATTTTTGGCGCCGTCAAGACATCCGGTTGTCTGTGAAGGGTCGAATATATCCTGCGGCAGTTCGGCCAGTTCTGCTATATGGAGCAGAAACTTGGTCATTAAGAAAATGGGATAAAGACAGATTGTTGGTGTTCGAACATCGCTGTTTACACAGGGAAGCCAGAGGCCTTATGCCTTTTTAGATAACTTATTTCCCGGATAACCTCCATTCCCAATGGAGGATTGATGTCAATCAGATGAAGCTTTCAGCAAGTTCAAAATAATAATCAGGAATCGGTTAGCGGAATTACAGAAGAACATGTTGCAAGTGCTAGTGAAAAGTTATGGATAAGTCAACTTCTGGAATATCTTTGCGGCTAGGAATTCCGAACTGGTTCGCAGTTCAACTGTGCTTCCTCGTACGATTGACACGTTGGACCGTTCGCTGGAATCGCTGTCATGAAACAGGCCTCATAATATTCTTGAAATTAAATGATGAAATTTTCGAAAGAACGTCCAATAGGCGATAGTTTTGTTGCCACAGTGCATTGACGATGCAACAACACATGGACAGCGATAGGAATGCAGTGTAAAAGCACACAGTACTGACGAATCAGTATCATGGACTTATGCGCGGACAACCTAATCCTGTTGGTATGCGAATAAAAATAATAGTTTTCCATCTCTCTCCATTCCGACCAGATATCTTTGAGAAACATAACATCTGCGCTACACGTAAATGACGAATGGAGAAATCGAACAACTCAACCGAGAAGGGCGCCGAGCATAAACAGGCTCGAACAAAAACAGTGTGTAACCCGAAATTACCAACCTTGTTTGTGTGCGCGCGGGCGGGCGCGTAAAAAAGAACAATCATCAGTCGTGTTTTCCGCCTAAATCGGACGGAACACATCCAAAAGGGCAAATGTGCCGGAAAACAAAGTTTTCTCATTTTTACGCGAATATCTCGCATTACACTGTTGTGCAACCGCACAGGATCGGGTTGTCATGAATGTAAACACCACTTCAACCGCATCCCGGTGTCACACACACACACACACACACACACACGGACCCAGTAGCCTCGGAAACATTCGGTGTTGTTTTCATAGGTGGGTGTGCAAGTCGCGAATAACGTCAGACCACAATCGGGCATAGTTCAGACTGTGCGAATCGTGTGTGGTAATTCAAACCGTGCATGACCAGAGTCACAACAATTCGCCCACACTTCACCTGAAGTGAGTACTTTCAAGCCTTCCATTCCCGAGACTCCAATCTGCCGAATGTCTGGTGTGGAGTGGAGAGCGAGTCTAGAATGGAGAAGATGCAGTGAGCACCCATGAGTAAATTTTGTTGTCGGTCTGCTTCTGGGAGATTTTTGTCGCTTAGTTGAGCACTACCAAAACCGACTAAACGAGTCAAAACAGCTTCCCAGATACGACAAATGTTGATTATCATCTCTGAGTTGCAGTATTTATTTATCTTGTTTCCATCTAAGACAGATTCTCCAAACTGGGAATCTAACAATCGGTGTATCAAACGACGGAATCAAGCACCAGATTATTCAGTTACCTCAACACAAGTACGCCCGTCACCAAGGAGTGTAGACGAACAAATTCGTTACGCATGCAACAAAAGACGAGAGCGGGTAAACACACTACTCGCACGTACAAACAGTAAACGAGGTCAGTCCCTTTGAGCAATCTGTGGTCAACGAGTTGGCCATTTTTCTCGAAATCTTGTTCTCGTCCTGCAAAATCTCTAGTAGCCCCAAGAGCAGTGGACGCCGAAGCGCGAAACCTAGCGTTGGCCTCATCTTAGGATGATTGTGGGAGAATCTTGCGGACAAACTACTGGAGTTAAGAGATAATAAATGATCATCAACACACTGAGTGGTACCCGATAATTACTTACAGACGACCACGCAACAAAATAAACTTAACTCGTCCGTGCCAGTGTACCACGGAGGTAACTGACGTTAGAGATCAGTGCTTCCAAGGGACCTCCTAACGTAAGAAAACAGTAATTATTTCCGAAAATTAATTTATCATTACTTAACCCCATCTCGAGGAGCAGAAGTCACCTCTTGAGGGACGTTTCTCACGACAAGCTCCACTTAGAGAGTGGAGTTATCGGTTGGACGGTCAAGTTTCGTCTCGTGTTAATGGCATAAAGTATGGCGAAGAAAAAGCCGTATGAATCTGGAAAGACGATTGCAATTCTGGTAGCAAACGGAGCAATACGGTCACAAATGACTGCGCTGTGAATAGGGGTGAGGATGGGCGAATTGTGCGTACGCACTACGGGTGGTGGTGTTGGAAAGTACACGCATTCGCATGCAGGTATGAGAGTGTACATGTGGGCGGAGCGGGCGTGGGGGGGGGGAAGTCAAATCAATTGTTCACTAAGAAAAATCAGAGCAACAATGCGAGCGAGAATCAGACGAGCAAGGAGACGAGTGACAAAGGCCAACAGATGAATGATAAGTACATCAACGCGAATAATGCGTGGCCCGGCAGTACTGTTGGTGTCCAGTACTGAAATCCAGTCGACAGGATGGATGATTTTAAGCACCGGGACACAACTATACGGGGGAAAAAACACCGGTCTCCGTGTGTCTGCACGATACAAATTGGGCAGATCATGTACATCACAAAACGATGTATTTCTTCATGTATTGTTCCTCGAGCCGACAAAAGTGGGAACAAAATCTACGGTCCACAGAGAGTAAATGCAAATAACCGGTTGCCTGTTCGCTTCGTTCCGTGTGAACGGGTCCGGAAATAGACCGCTGTGATGTGAAGTGAAGATGTATTAGACGGCCGGGGACTGGGGTGGTGGAGCAAGATGAAAAATAAAAGAGAATAGCACTAGAGATCGAAATCGGAGAGACTACCGAACGAAAACAATCAGAAAAATACAAATGTCACGCAGATCATTGAACCAACTGTGTCTGTATGTTTGATGCCCAAATTTTCACATCAGTCCTAGAGGAAAGAGACTTTCCGACATGAAACAGACAACGAACAGGCGCAAATATTTTCCGACAGGGATCATCATAATCGACTAGCAAATAAGAGAAAGAGAAGTAACTAGTTTTCAAAATCACGATGGCCGATATGAGAGAGTGTGGAGGCGGCCGGGAGAAGTTTGCACAGTTCTGCCGGATCCCATCACAAATACCCCCATCGAATTTCACCTTTCGAGTTCAAATGAGCCTGGATATGAGGAGAGAATGCGGAAAGATTGTTGCGAAGTGCTAAGGAAGAAGAACGATGACAACAAACACAACAGTCCTGGTACCGTGGTATGATACCTGTGCTGTGAGTGAGAAGAACTCTGTACATATGGGCAACGAATCTGAGTGAGCCTAGAAATGAATCACAAAACACAGATGATCGGTACCGCCCCCCGGTATATACATGGTCGTATGGGATCATTAGACGGGAAACTGCGGGCGATAATCGAGGGTTAGTCAACGGAGGCGGAGTAGAGGCGTGTCGTGGTCGGGCAAAGTGTGCGCTAAAGGTGATGAGACTGTTCGAATTTACTACGTTCTGAAAATACTATCTGCTTGGTTCTGAATGCGCGGCTGTCGGTAGGTAGACTACCACCACAGTGATATCGTCCCGATAGTAGCGTGCGACAGTGGCTGGCATGGAAATATGAGCCGAAATACGTTCTGGGTCCATTTCGTCACCACCCAGAGCTGTCCGAATCAGACGACTAGCAGCCGTGTCACCAGGACCGCAAACGGACGGATCCTTTGAGACAAATTGGGGGAAGAAAAGAGGGAGAAAGGGTCCAAATGGGTCCAAATCATTTATGATTTCAGGGCTTTTACAACACAATATAAATAAAAACTAACTCAAATCTTGTAGATAACTAGTTACACAGCAATAATATCAGGTAGACATCGTACGAGTTTTAAAAAGCACTCACTAGGAAGTGATTTTGGCGATAATAAGGGGGAAACCCCAACTTTTATCCCAGTAAAATCTATTTCGTAAACTGCAGTACCACTGAATGGTTTAAAATGAGTTCGGAAAACGGCTGATCACTAGAGTTCTAGGATTAACTATTTCAGGAGCCAAACAGCACAGCATACAAATAGCATATAATAGAATAGTATATAGCTAAATGGGACAGTATAGTAAAAATATCCCGGAGAACAGTTCGTTAAAGTTGCTATTTGCTCTGCTCATTTTCATACAGTCAAAAGATGGCGGGTGTAAAACAGACATCGTGTTACCATGCGCACATAATATGTGGGCCTTTGAAGCAATCAACTAGTTTAAATTATGTTAGAGTTATTATCCATCATCGAGAGATGACACCCACCGAAAAGTCGATTTCATGGACGTACAATGTGCGCTCTCTAACAGAAGTAATCGCTCTACATCGCCTTCGATGGTTTGGTCACGTTTCGCTAAGACCTGCCCATCGACTACCTTACCGTGTTCTCTTTGCACGTGCCGGACAAGGCTGAAAGAAGCGCTGCGGCGGTCAGACCATGGCTTATAGGTATGAAGAAGCTAGCTTCAGCTCTGGCTTCGGTTGGTGCAGCCCGCCTTCCAGGTTGGGGCCCAAGGAGGGAAAGGACAGTCGTTGGTTAGAGACACTAAGAGATATGATCCAGAATAGAAGTCATTGGCGCGGATGCTGTACGGTGTCTGTTGAAATCCCGTGGGCCATAAAAAACGATAAACTCGCACATCAAAAATATCAAAAAGTGAACGGTGAAACAAACAAAAAAATTGTTCTTCTTGTTTTTGAAAGTGAATATCTGACTCTTTTTTACACTGCTTCGTATCCAACCACCATACTTTCTGTTGCTCACGTGTTGCGTCGGTACCAAGATTGCTTGCAACATTGTGATAAACGTATAAATATACACCGTGCGCAATCCAACTCTGTTCACAAGAGACGGGACAGAAAAGCACTGAATTCGGTAAGGCACACTTGCCGCTCCGAAGCTCACTGGTATATTTCGCCAGATTATTTCGTTCAGACGGTATTTTCCCCAATACTAAACAAGTATTTTTCCTATTTCGTTTTTTTTTCTTACCTTAATTCCACACTTTATTCTTGTCCAATCTTTAGCAGTGATCATAGATAAACACAGCTAACTTCGTGGAGTCACAAATGAAAGCTGCTTGATTGGTGTGAACCAAAGGAACGGAACTGGTCTGTAGGAACTTAGCAGGTTCCTGAACTCGTTGTGTTACCACTACCAGAAACCCTAACAATTAATAACAATAACATTCACAAAACTGACATCAATAACATTGCGACCGCACTAGATCTGGAAAGCTGACCAAAACCAACACAAATCAGATCCAAAGGAATTGAACAAGTCACCCGTTACACCCAGTGTTCAAAACAGTTCCGTGAACATTGGCAGTCGTGGACAAAAAAGGAGCTAAACCAAGGGGTCAAGTATAGCAAAGGCAAATTTTTTCAACCAAGAAACCTACGCCATTGTAATCAAACCAGTGTTGCGCGACGACGTTGACTACTTCCTTTGGCGAAAGCATGTCCCACAGACCGTCTGTACCGAGGACCAGAAAATGGTCGCGATTCTTTATTAACGGCCGCCAAACCACTTGCGGAGTCGAGCACAGGTAAGGTGGTGTCGCATAAAAGGCAGGCATAATAGGATAGTTTGGAGGTAGATCCAGCAACCGAGCTACGTGCTTCAGTTCTTCGGAAGGCCATTTAAAACGAATATCCCCGAAGGCACGGAGTGGCATCAATTCACCTGGGGAATCGGTGAAAAAAGAATGCATAATATTTATATTACTAATCAGTAGGCAAACAAGGTGTGGAAATTATGAACGTCACTGACGCAACCCGCTCACTAACGTTGATCAATTTCAATCGGGAAAAGAATGTATCTATCATCTTTTGCCAAAATAATAGACAATTTAGTCGATTTGTGATGTAAGAACTCTGTACGACTGCACCAAATGTGACCACTAAAATGGTGTTTTCAAATATGAAGAAAAGCTGGGGTAGATTCAATGTGATGAAAACAAGTTTAAAGTAGAGAGAAATGGTGGATTCGAATTACAAAAAACAACCGTGTTTCGTTTGAGCAAAGGACGATCTGTTACTTAAACCGATCGGCTCGAATGGGCTGATATACTAGATAAGTTAAATATCAGAAATCACCAGATTGCTTCATTCGATGTGCTACCTCCAATGTTCCATTTATGGAAACTAGTAGTAAAATCGAAATATATCAATTGACTCAAACCAATCATGCAATTTATAGCAGAGGAGTCAAACAACCAAATACCATACTCTGAATCAATCATGACTGGCAGAGATAATGTTTGCATCGCTAGATTTGGCCAAATCAGACTCACTCTTGCCAGGCGGTCTTTGTCTTCCCCGTGTTCCCTTATCCAACAAAAAGGCTATTTTGGGTAAACCCGACACTGAAGAAACGTAGTAGACACGGTCAGTGCAAAGGTCAATCAGTTTGGAAAATTCAACAGGCCAGTTAATTCAAAATTCACTCAGTTTGACTAATGCCCTCTCTCCGTTTGACCCCACCGCGTCTTGCAATGGATGTATCTGTTGTTCAGATCCCTTTTGATCATCGACCCCAGACCATTGCATAGTCACTCTTCAGCAAACCACTTGACCTCGATCCATTTGAGACGCTTCAATGGACACATTGATCTCTGTT